GGCCCAGTGCGGGATCTCCACTCGCCATAGACTAGACTGTGGGCCCCTGGGTGTGGGTTTCAAGCCCACTGGAGTACATGTCCCTTACGGACGATTAGAGCTCTCATCTCCTGGCCTCACTTTAAGCGGAGATATATCAGTGGTACTAGGAGTGTGCAGTGGGAGGTCACCAGGTGAGATCCTTCTTAATTTCCAGTGATGAAGAAGAATTTTTCCTATTACTTAGGTTCTACTATCTCAGTGGGAAACTGGGAAGCATGGACATGGAGTGCTGCATCACAATGTGAAATTACTAAAACCCTGAGTTACAACATTACCATACCTGTTAGAAAACTCACTCTAGGGCAGTTGGTGGTGTGGGGCTTATTACTTAGGTTCTACTATCTCAGTGGGAAACTGGGAAGCATGGACATGGAGTGCTGCATCGCAATGTGAAATTACTAAAACCCTGAGTTACAACATTACCATACCTGTTAGAAAACTCACTCTAGGGCAGTTGGTGGTGTGGGGCAAGAAGAGACAAACCTGGAGGCAGGAGCCCCTACATCAGGGCTGTCATTGCCCCATGGAGCAGTGACAGCTTCATTTTCATTTTTGTGATAAATCATTTTGGTGGCTGACTTCTGACAGGGCAGGCTGCATTAGCTGTCAGAGGCACCAGGGAACCACACAGCATTTCAAGATGCTCTGGCCTTCAACGCTCTGGGCCAGGCCCATGTTAGGGAGTTCTTGTTTATGAACAGCCCACTGTGTGTGCCAGGCACTGTGCTGAGGTCTCCATTTACATCTCACAGTCCCATGAGACACTATGTTTATCACCATTCCCTACGCGATGAGACTGAGACCCAAAGAAATTGAGAACTTTCCTCAGGTCCCAAAGTTAGTAAGTGGCAGAGCTCACTGAAACCTGTGTCTGTCTGACGCCCAAGCCTTTCTCCTACAATGTACAACACAGTGAATCACAGAGGGCTTCAAAGACGAAGCCCTTGAAGGATCAGTACAAGTTTATTAGACCCAGGAGGGGTAAGGAAGAGAATCCAGAGAGTTGAATCCAAGTTGCAAGATGTGGCTAAAACCCAGGGTTCAAGGCAGAGTACTGGTGGGGACAGGCCAAGGCCAGCTCATGAAGAGCCCAAAACACCAGGCCTGGTGCCTTGAAACTCATCCCTTAGGGAGGGGCTTCCTGGGTTGCTCTAAGCAAGGGTGACATCATCAGACTTGGTGTTTGAAGATGACTCTGGGGGCAGTATGGAGGCTGGGTTGGACAGTGGGTCTCAACATTACAGCATTGGAATCACCAGTGGGGGCGGGGGGGAGGGCTTATAAGAAAAACACCCACAACCCACCTCAAAGAGTCTGATTCAGTGGGTCTGGAGAGAGGCCCAGGTATCTGCATTTTAATACAGTTTCCAAGTAATTCTGATGCAGGTGGTCATCTGAAGAAACACCAGTAATCCAGACGGGGAGGACATGCAAGGAGACTAATTATAAGTTTGTTGCTAGAGACAAATGGTGAGTGCTGAACTTGAACAGTGGCAAGGAAAATGGTAACAGCAGGATAATGTTACAACCCTGTCTATATTTGTCTATTTTTAAGAGTTTTACAATAAAAAGATTTTTAAAAATATTTCTGGATTTGGTTTCAAAAAGGACTTATGGAAAAGTAGAGAAGTCTCAGACATAGCCAAAATGCTACCCTTTGTTTCTCTATTTTCTAGTACAGGTTGAGTATCCCTTATCTGAAATGCCTGGGACCAGAAGTGTTTCAGATTTCAGATTTTTCTGGATTTGGGGATATTTGCGGAGTACAAATTAGCATCCTTAAGCTGAAAATCTGAAATGTGAAATACTCCAATGAGCATTTTCTTTGAGCATCATATTGACACTCAAAAGGTTTTGTACTTTGAAACATTTCAGATTTCAGATTTTTATATTAGGGAAGCTCAATCTGTAATTCACACCTGTCCCCACCCCTCCAACCCCTGCCTTCAAACAGCTAGTTCATTCTGTGTTCATTGTCCCTTAGGAGTGGAACATGGCAGGGCCCAGAAAACAGAACCAAGATTCTTTCTGGTATGATGTACTGGACTTGTCTCCAATAACACAGGAGCTGGGGAGAGAGAGAGTAGAGGTATCGATGAATCAAGATTGGCCACAAGTTGATTGTTGTTGAAGCTGGGTGATGGTTGCATGGGAATTCATTCTAGAATCCTGTCTATTTTTTAAAAGTTTTACAATAAAAAGATTTTTAAAATTTTTCTGGATTTGGTTTCAAAAAGGACTTAAGGAAAAGTAAAGAAGTCTCAAACATAGCCAAAAAGTTTCACGAAACTTCATGAGCAAGAGGAGGGGTGGAGAGAATTGGGGAAAGGACAGTGCACTGTCTCTTCCTCACTCTTTCCAGGTGAAGAGGCCCCACTAGCCTGGAACTTCCACACCCAGGGGACAGAATAACTCATCTGATTAGCTTATTCGGGAAGAATACGGTATATGCTCTGCTCATTTCTGTCCTCTTGGTTTCTGTCTGCCTGCAAGGGGTACCCATCCACTGCTCCTCCAGTGGCACCAGGAGGGAGGCCTGCCCAGTGCAGCACTGCCATGACGGGGGGCTCAGCTGTCAGCCACGCTGAGCAACATGCTCTGCCCTGGAGCATCACTTTGTTAGTAGTAAAGGTAATATTCGGACTCCAGCTGCCTCTCCTTTGCTTCATTTCCCTAGTCAGGAAGACAGTGCTAAGGTCATGGGCTCTGATCCCCGTACCAGCCAGCCACCAAAAAAACAAATAAAATAATAAAAAAATAAAACAAACAACTCTCCATGACACCATGAATATAAGTTGTTAAATGAAAGCTGTGGGAGGTCACTGATTTGGACTAGGATAATGCACTAAGCCCAACAGAACAAACCGATATAGAATTTAACCACAGAGGCTGAGCTTTAGTTAATAGCTGGAGACTCTATAACCACTTAACCAATTAAGCTGTAACCAATTAAGTTGTCTCTATGCCACATTTCCACATCCTATAAATGCTGTCAGATCATGTTATTGGTTGGAGTTCTTTGAGCCTGCCCTGGTGTGGAGGGCTGCTAGATTCGTGCTTTGTTTTGTTTTTCTTTGCTCAAGTAAAATCAGTTAAAATTTAAACTTGTCAAAGATTTCTTTCCTTTTAATTAGGTTCAGGGAAGGGTGGCAAGGGAGGAATGTAAGGAACTTGCTCAGGCAACCTACCTTTGTTTTAGGACTTGCTTGGACCCAGGCTATACATCTCACTTCCTCGTGTGTGTGTGTGTGTGTGTGTGTGTGTGTGTGTGTGTGTGTGTCTTTTTCGTGACCAGCAAGGGGATCGCAACCCTTGGCTTGGTGTCGTCCGCACCGCGCTCAGCCAGTGAGCGCACTGGCCAGTCCCACATAGGATCCGGATCGCAACCCTTGGCTTGGTGTCGTCCGCACCGCGCTCAGCCAGTGAGCGCACTGGCCAGTCCCACATAGGATCCGAACCCGTGGCGCAAGCGTCTCTGCGCTTCCAGCGCCACACTCTCCCAAGTGCGCCACGGGGCCGGCCCTGATCTCACTTCCTCTTGACGATGGATTACTGCTGGCTACCCCTGATTCCATGGCAGGGTAGATCAGACAACACTAAGCTCAGGTCACATGGTTACCTAGTCACTATGGTCTGAATCAAATTTCACCAGACCCATGGAACAAGCCAGGAGCTATTTCTCAAAAGAAAAACAATTTGCTGAAGAAAGGCATAACTTTGCTTCAAAATCCAATGATGCAATGCTTGGGTATAAAGGCCAAAGCCAGAACTACTTACTCAGCAGCCTGACCCAGTAAGAAAAACTTCTCTTCTTGCATGGTACCCCCCAAAAGTTGACAGCTTTCAAGTGCCCCAGTAACTGGTCAAAATTATGTACCTAAATATGGATATATTAACTCCCAAGTATATAAAGAAGCCCATCAAGTATTGTACCTTTCTTAGTGGTAGGGAGTGTGATGTACGGCAGCTTGTCCTTGTAAGGAATATCTCTCTCAACACACTCCAGACTCTAGATAGTTCACTGAGTGGACAGGCCCCTGCATATGTATTTATGGGATTTATTATCCATCCTCTGGCACACATATGTGATGCCTTACCAAGTCATCTAAGGTATCTGCTACTTCCTCATCTCAAGATCCATCAGGATGATGTCATCAATTCTATAGTTGATTAGCCTGATTTCGTAAAAAAATCCCTGTAAATTAAGTGTGTCCAGAGAGTGATATACCCTTGAAGCAAGAAAGTAAAGATTTACTGCTGCCCCTGCAAGATGAAAGCAAACTATTCTTGATGTTTGGTAGAGAAGAGTAAGCATTGACTAGACCTCTGAATGCCTATTAAAGGCCAACAACTGTACAACTGTACAACATCTCCTCCAAGAAGGACCACATCTGGAAGAGTGTCTGCAATTGGGGTCCTTACCAGAATAAGTCTGGCCATCTGGCTTCTATTCGGGCCAAACTGAAGAGTGATGGAAAGAGAATCATCCTGCATCTTTCAAATCTTTGATAGTAGCACTAATCCCTGTGATGAGATGAAGTACTATTCTTAATTAGCAATCTTTGAAGTTAGGGAGAGCTCCAGGGCCTTCCATTTAGCTCTTCCTCTCAAAATAGCCCTTGTTCCAAGGCTTAGAAAGCCAATCTCAGGATTCTGCCCCACTGATGATATATATCAATCATCAACTTTTTTTTTTTTTCCTTTTTGTCTTTTTTTTTCGTGACCGGTAACGGGATCGCAACCCTCAGTGTCACGCCCGCACCGCGCTCAACCAGTGAGCAGACAGGTCTCTATATGGGATCCGAACCCTCGGCGGGAGCGCCACCAGGCCGGCCCTCAATCATCAACTTTACATTTCATATGAACATCAGGGCATGAGACAGACTGCACTAAAAACTTAAAAAAAAAAATTATACTATGAGCATTATTATATATTCACAAAAAGGGACAAAATCCCATTTTTAACAATGAAATACGTAATTTAATAATTTTTAAAATGTTCCATTGTGTACCGTTCAAAATCCTCTACTGTACATACCATTATTTTGGAAACATGCCCCAGTCATCTCATTTTTATCACACTGGTTGTAACTGTATTTAAGCGTCCACCTTCCCCACCAGACTCGGGGAGAAGGAGACGGGTCTGAGTCTCTCTGTCCCAAGCACAGAACGTTGGACTCCCAGTGGACCACACGCTACAAATAAAGACCTACACGATCCATTGTTCTCTTTCAGCTCAGGCCGTTCACGAGCCCACGGGTTCTGGCTGGATGATGCTGAACAACCTTCTGTAGCCTCAAATTTTCTCTGCTGCAAATGGGAATGATCCGTACCTGCCTCGCTGTGCTGTTGGGAGGAGTCAGGAGATGAGTGCGAAAGTACAGTGGCACTATAGTAATTAATTAATTCACTCATTCATTTAACATGCAATTATTAAGCACCTAGGGCAGTGCAGCACGGTTACCACAGCTTTCCTCCGACAGGTCGCACCCCTAGGGTCGGGGGGTGGGGAGTAGCGGGGTAGGGAGTCTCCCCGCTAGCCGAACTCCGTGTGATGACCTTATTCAAAATGGCGCAGGCAGCTTCGGGGGCTAGTGCGGCGGCGCGAGCTCCGAGTGCCCTCTGACCTGCTGGCGGCGGGCGGAGGGGGAGCGGGCGCCGCCATATTGCCTGTTGTCCTGTGAGGGGAGCGGCGGCGGCG